AAAAATCAGATTTTTGTTAGAGATACTTAAGAAAGCCAAAAATGTATATACAGTTTTAATTTAAGATATGTTAATGCTCAAAGATATCATAGAATAGGAATTATAGCTTCTAGTTATATTCTATTTGAGACAATATATTCATCTAACCTTCTAAGAAGTTTTATAAATAGGACATAACAAGCCATGGACTACATTAGGGCCCAATCTTATGGGATTCCCAAAGGCTCCTCTAGATTAGTAAAGATTAAAGAAAACCACTCTACCCAATGAGACTGCTCAGTCTAGAAGATCCCATTAAGCATCTCTGATGCTTAGTTTCAGTTCTCAAACTGTGAATGTGCATCTCCAGAGACCATAGGCAGACAAGGTTCTTGGGGTAGATATGATATCTTATTAGACCAACTAAATATTTGGAAAAAAAACGTTTACAAGCTTTTGAGCAAAAATGACCTTCAGGCATAAAGGAGAGAATGTTGTCTCTAGAGGTAACATCCTTGTTAACAGCAGTATATGGAGATGAGAGATAACAGACCTGATTACCCACTCATCAGCCCTATTGTCTCTCTGCAAGTTAGTGTATACACAGTCAAGCCCTTGCACTTTTTAGAGAACAGTGTAAGGTTAGAAGAAGTTAAATGAATAAAGGATATCAAACAAGAAGGCACTTTGCAGACAGCCATTGAGGCTTCCTGCCCAGCTATTTAAAATCAAATCCAACCTGTCCCCGATACAGTCTAAATCTCCAAGTGTTAGAGTGCCAATCTACGAATTTTTAGAGAATTACAGCAGTGTTTCTCAACTTTTGCCAGCCTAAGGCACACTTACATTAAGAAATTGTTTCTGCAGCACACCCATTAAGGCATTCCTCCATCCCCACCCCTATCATAGCTCATTGCCAATGCAAAATTCCACAGCACCTGTTCATTTCTGACAGCACACTGTTGTGCCATGGCACACTGGGTGGGAAACACTGAATTACAGGACATTGTGTAGGGCACAGTGTTAGTCCTTTAAAACCTGTATAAAATTAAGACCATACCAGCTTGACAAGTTTGAATTCAGACAACTTTAAGATTCCTGTTGGCCCATTTTATATATTGTGCTACCCAGAGATGCCCTTCATAAAAAAAGAACACCAACTGGATACTATTAGAATAAGCAAACCTTGCTGGTCAAGATTCCAGTCTGTGGAAGATCCTAGTAGACAAGCTTACTGGGGAATATCAGATTGGATATTACACCAAATCCATGATAAAGTCAGTATTGAGTCTACTGTTGTGTTCGCATTGAGATGAGTAATGAAATAGCAAGCACTTTTGTCAATTGCTCCTTCAGGTCATTAGGACAGTTGACATACGGGTACCTAATGCAAGCCTCTTATTTCAAATTACTTGCTTGAATCCTATTTAAACTTCAGGAAAGTTTGGTTAAAAAAAGGTGTAAGGTCTAAAATAGAACCCAATACCTTGGCTGCTGTATTCTTACCCAGTTCTGAAGGCAAGAACTACTTATAAGGTATGTATCCCCACTTTTCATATTAGCACTCATCCACCTTTTCTAGAGTAGGATTACAAAGCATTATCCATCAAAAGTAGGTGGGCATAGATTAAGTCAGTTATAGCATTAGAGTTTAGTGATCGGCAGCACGAGAGATCTCACCTTTGCTGCTTCTATGTTAACCATGTAGTATCTCAGTAACTCAGACAGCTTTAAGTCTTCATCAGATGAAACACGACTCTCTACCTTCTACAGAAGAGAAGGTTAGATAGTAGCGATGCAAGACAAAACACCAAGATTTAAGTGTAGGGTTATTTGAAGGGAACTCACCCTCAGTTTTTCAAAGAGTTCAGCAACTTTCAGCAAGTACCTAAAGAGTACATAGAGAGTGCTTTTAAAAAAAAGTTGTCATCTCCTGGATGACATGTCCAGGAAGTGTTTGGGAATCTGTTGCTTCCCTATCAGGTAGGCTGCTTGCATGCATGCACCTTGGAATATCACCATGCTGAGCACAGCGCATGCCCACAAGAGGCATAATGCTAGTTTGACCCAGCATCTTCATGCTTCAGCAGGGCTTTTCTCCAATAGTCAATTCAATCAGCTATTAGAAAAAAAAAAAAGCACCAGTTTAATTTTGTCCTTTGGGCCAGACCTGGACTGCAGGGCTTCTTGTAGGCCAGATAACCCACCTCCAATGGCAGGGCAACAGCTTGTGTGGCTGTTGGAGCAGCTCTAGAATCCACTGGGTGAACATAGGTCTTGCTGTATTCTATTCCCCCTACCACCCCAGGGTTTGAGCTAGCCATGTCAACAAACCTCACAAGCTGCAAGATACAATTTATACAGCCCAAGCCTGACTTGAACATCTGAATTTATCAAATCAAGTCCTCAGTATGGTAAGCTGACATAAGTTTTGAACACCAAGCCAGATGTTAGCAAACAAGGGAGACTGGGAATCACGATTCAGTTTGTTGGCTTTTTAATACAGGATTAGGCTTCTGGAGCTTTATTAACAAGCCAAGAAAATGTTCAATTAAATCCTCACTTTTTGATGACTGTTGACTCCTCCAGTGCCAGGCTGTTCAAGCAAACAGAGATGTAGATGTAGTCATCTGCAACATCTGTCAAGACAGATAGCACTTTTTAAGTGTCATCTCTAAGCACCAGCAAGTCTGTTTAGAAGAGCTTTTAGAACAAGGTTTACTTTTATGAGATCTTGTCATCTTATCTGCTTTTGCACATGCATCCTTGATTCTGTTATAATAGTTCACAAGAAAAGTCTTCTCTTGCTCAAAGAAGTCATCTACCTCCTGGAAAAAAAAAAAAGGAGAATGTTTTTTTTAACAAATAAAAGAAATAGTTGTTACAGAGCCTTAGCAGCCATTCCATTTAGTAGATATTCAAAGTGAGACCTTTGACCTTGCGTAGATGCAAACTGTCACCATACATAGGTGAGGCTGTACATTTCTAGCTTTCCCTTTGAGACTAAAAAAAGTGAAATCTACTAGTTCTTTCCTACAAAATTTTCCTTCATTTACAGAGCTGAAGGATCCATGGGACTAACTTTTCTTTTGATACATATCCATGCACCATGCAGCTCTTAAAAGACCCACAGCCTTACACACTACATATGGTACTAGTTTTATTCTCCCCAGGCCAGCCGGAACAGGGTCATTCTTCTACATCCAACTCTATTTGGTTGCAAAGTTTGATGTTTTAAAAGAGTCTTTAGGACATCTAAAAGCTTAAAAAGCAACAAGTAAATTGCCATGGCAAAAAAAAAAAAAGCTTAGAAAAAAATTTGAAATTCAAATAATCTTTAGATGTACACAATTGTGACATCTGGTGGCCTGTTCTTTAGAAACTTACTAGAAAAAAAAATTTGTATTAGGACATGGAAAGTACAGTTTGTACATCACTAGTCTCAGCAGCTTAATTAAGGCTTCAAAGAGCAGTAGTCTTCAAAGTGAAGACTTCAGTTGTGTAAGCAATGGCTATTTTTGAGAATGACTACATACCTGCAAGCACCAATTCAGTAAGCTCATCATCTTTTCCCCAAGAGCATATTTCAGGTTTCAAATGAAACTTTGGAAAACCAGCCTTTAAGGTTTGACAGTACCACTGGAATAACCATCAAAGGTTGGGTTCATGTGAGAAGGCTGTTCTCCAGTTAAAAAGTATTAGTTTACAATTAATAGGAGAGAAATAATTCACCTGGATGTCTCAGCACTTTTGAATACAGAAGTGGCCACTTATGAAGATCACCCTTTAGTGAAGGATGCTGTAAAATTTGTAGAAGGCTACTGACCAAGTACTGCTTTGTTTTACCTGCATTCTAAAAGCAGAAACTTGATGGGCTACTCATCTTGGATGCTTCTGCTATACAGGAGTCAATTTCCTCACTACATGCAGGAGAATCAAGCCTTTCTACCTGCGCCTGGCCATGGCAATTCTTCTTGCTGTAGTCACAATGGCAAGAGACTTCACAGTTCTACCCCCTCCCTTTCCTTAAGGAAATGATATCATAAAAATATGCACGTGACAAACTAATACAGCAGAACATGGGCTTTCCAATGAGCCACTACATGCCATAACAGTACAATAAGACATTTGTAACATGCCACAAAACCTCCCCAAAAGGTAATAGGGTTTCTGTTGTGTGCTAATCTTGGGTCAGATCCTTCAATAGCTGGGATTAATGCTGTTTACATTGCAAATTAATACAGACCTCTGCTAGCATTTTAGAGCAGACTCCCTTACTTGTTTCATATGCCTAAATGTCACAAGATTCCTCTCTTAGAATTAAGTGGCTTTCATAAAATAGGGTTGGGTTTAAAAGGAAGCCATTGGATGTCAGTCCAACACCCCATTAAACTACTACCCATGTCTGAAGTTGGGTAATAGTTCCAAGGCAAGTCCTTAAAGCTGTGGCACATTCAGCCATTAAGTAATGATGTATAAGCCTTGACCAAAGCTTCTGGAGGGGCTGGATGTGTTCAAGTCAGCAGGTCCAGATGCTCTCCACCCCAGGGTGTTGAGGGAGCTAGCTGGGGTTATTGCAGGGCCCTTGGCACAGCTTTACGAGCGCTCATGGTGCTCAGGCCAGGTGCCAGATGACTGGAAGATAGCTAACGTGGTCCCCATCTTCAAAAAAAGGGAAAAGAGAGAGGACCCAGGCAGCTATAGGCCCATCAGTCTTACCTCTATCCTTGGGAAACTCTTTGAGAAGATCCTCAAGGAGCACACCTGTGATGGGCCAATTTCAGGGATGATGCTCAAGGGCAACCAGCACCGTTTCATTAGGGGCAGGTCATGTCAGACCAACCCGATTGCCTT